AAAAATGATATCAAGTGGATACACTTTAATTTGCAAAGCTAATTTGGAGCAGATGGGGTTAACAATATATACAAGAATAGGTATATGTTATTTTAATATTTCCATGTGAAATAAATGTATTATATTTTTAATTAAAAAATCAGGAGGACTGCTATAAAATGAGAAACAATGGCATTTACCAACAAGACAACCCACTCCTCCTATTATGGCCAAATCCAAGAATTCCAGATGTTTCCATTTTCATCTATGTAAAAGAGTGGGCAAAATCAAATTATTGTTATTGGCTTCTATAACCTTCAGGGTATATAAGCTTGAAGTTAATGATTCTTAAGGACATAGTTTTATTTGGTGTTCTTCCTGGAACATACATTAGGGTCAAGGTTGCATTTAGTCATCTTGGTATAGGTTTTAGGGTGAGAGTAAGGCTCCCAAGATACTTGCAATTCCTTTAATAGGGAGTATGGCTTAAAGTGCAAATACTTCTAGGCGAAAGGACAAGTGATTCAAATTTACGCTAGAAACTAAATGACTAAAATCCAAAATAAAAATTTATTTTACCAATGATGCTGCAAGGATAAAAGATGCTCTATGTTTGTGCATTGGGATTTAAGAGCTCAGTGATTTAACTGGCTCCACACACTAGCTTCTCACACAGCTTTGCTTTCGGCCTGGGTGGATAAGAAGTCAAGGGACCTGCTCTGCACTTGGGGGAGCTCCTCGTGCTCTGTGTGGGGTGAAGAAACAGCCCAGTGTTTTTTTTAATTATGAATAATGTCTTGTACTTAACTTAGTGTTTTAGCTTTTACCAGAGTGTTACCATTAAATACACAGAGACTGAACTTTTCATGAGGGGCAAGGATATAAAATTGTTCCACAAAGTGTACTATATGAACCACTTTTCACAGTTCGAATAAAATATTTTAAATATAAATATTGTAACTCTAGCAACAGCCTATCTACACAAGGTGGGAGAGGATGGGATTAATGAAAACCCAGTTATATTTCCATACAGGTCATGTTTTACCATCACAACCGCTATACGTTTGGGAAACATGCCACGGGGAAGAGTGCCTACAACGACTCTGTCTGCCCCCCAGTGGCCGCTGGAGTAAATTCTATTTTTCTTTGTTGGCAATGGCCCAGAATTTTGCTTTAAAGAAAAAAAAAAGGAGGTAGATCATGTCATACCAGGAATTAAAACCATCAAGACGTATGCCTCGATATATCTTAAAATACGATCGTTGCAGTAAATGTTACATATTTTCCTTTGCGCTAACTCAAAGGTTAACCACGAATAAAGAGTTGTTCTTGCCGCGCCTCCGCATCTTCCTGGCGTCAGATACTGACTGGCACGGAGGACACCGAGCTGGCTCGGGATTCCCGGGTCACGTGGTTGGGCATCGAGAGGGTGCAGCAGGACACGCCCACGGTGGCCTATAAATGTATTATATTTTTAATTAAAAAATCAGGAGGACTGCTATAAAATGAGAAACAATGGCATTTACCAACAAGACAACCCACTCCTCCTATTATGGCCAAATCCAAGAATTCCAGATGTTTCCACGTCGTCCTCCGTCCACTCGTTGAGCTCGGGGTGGAAGCACTGGATGCACTTCTTGTACTTCTTCTGGCCCTCGTTCCAGCCGCCCACCAGGTAGGCGCGGCCGAGCAGCGCGGAGTAAATGTTTTATATTTTTAATTAAAAAATCAGAAACAATGGCATTAATGAGAAACAATGGCATTTACCAACAGGACAACCCACTCCTGTTATGGCCAAATCCAAGAATTCCAGATGTTTCCATTTTCATCTATGTAAAAGAGTGGGCAAAATCAAATTATTGTTATTGGCTTCTATAACCTTCAGGGTATATAAGCTTGAAGTTAATGATTCTTAAGGACATAGTTTTATTTGGTGTTCTTCCTGGAGCAAACATTAGGTTCAAGGTTGCTTTTCATCATCTTGGTATAGCGTGAGAGTAAGGCTCCCAAGATACTTGCAATTCCTTTAATAGGGAGCATGGCTTAAAGTGCAAATACTTCTAGGTGAAAGGACAAGTGATTAAATTTATGCTAGAAACTAAATGACTAGCATCAGTTCCTTCTTCCAGAGCAGACTTGTATGGTGGAAATACCCTGGGGCTTGAGGCATGCAGGAAGAAGGGCTCAGGGATAAACCAAGGGCATCACCTTGACAGCCCAGGGTGGAATCCCCTTACTTTCCAGTCAGACTCTGCTATAAGCTTTAGGACGTTGTCGTGGGATGCCTTTCAACATCCTTCACTCAGTCATGGCCAGGAAAAGAAACTGCACTGAAATATGGAATTAAACCTTAAGTCTTTATGGAGTTCCATTTTACAATAAAACCTACCAAAGACTATTTTCCGCTTCCTACAGAAAGAGAGGGGGAAATAAACTTGTACATGAAGTCACTTACTCACATAAGTGTCATCATAAGTAATAAGTACTTAAGCAAAGAGGGAACTTCTCAAATGTGGGTGTAACCGCTATACCTTTGGGAAACATACCACTGGGAAGAGTGCCTACAACGACTCTGTCTGCCCTCTAGTGGCCGCTGGTGTAAATTCTATTTTTCTTTGTTGGCAATGGCCCAGAATTTTGCTTTAAAGAAAAAAAAAAGGAGGTAGATCATGTCATACCAGGAATTAAAACCATCAAGACGTATGCCTCGATATATCTTAAAATACGATCGTTGCAGTAAATGTTACATATTTTCCTTAGCGCTAACTCAAAGGTTAACCACA